GTGAAAGCAGAGAAAGTGGATGCGAATCCTTTTTCAAATGGGAAGGAATAAGTAAAGAAAGAGGACAGAATTGGATTCGTGAGGAAATTCGGTTGTTCTCACATTGTAATTTTCATGACGCTCTCATCATTTATTCATTAGAGCAGGAGTCATTTTTCTGATGGATTCAGGGCTGGATCTTCAGTGCTCGCTTGAATTATCTGTCCTTCTCTGACACAGAATAGCTTGGTGGCCCTGGGCAGGGAGGTGTGACAAGCTGAGGGGTGTATGCCTAGGACTCAGCAGTCTGCATGGCCCAATCGTCAGCAGGGGTGACTGGCCAAAATGGTGTGTAAGGGGAGACGTGTATGTCTCAGCCAAGTTGCTAGCACAGACCAACCTCTGGCCCTACTTTGGAGAGAGAGGAGGAGGGGTGAAGTGCTTGAAGATGTGGATAGAAGAAGGTTGTAAAAAATTAAGGAATGTAGTCCACTCAGGTTGGGAGAAGAAAGGAAGGTGAGAGGGTGTTAGGAGAGAATGTGTCTGTGCTGGGGGAGAGCATTTCACATCCCCCTTGTTTGTGGGACTATCAGAGCAATAGGTGTTGCTGTTTGGTGGGACGGGGTTGGGTTGATTGCCTGATGAGTCAAGCAGAGTAGTTGGCATGTGGCTTTGTCTATCCAACCATCCGTCCATCCATCCACCCACCTATCCTCTACCCATCCCTCCATCCATTCACCCACCTATCCTCTACCCATCCCTCAATCCACCCATCCTCTATCTATTCATCTACCCACATTCTATCTGTTCATGCATCCATCCATCCATCCATTCATCTTCTATCCATCCCTCCGTCCATCTATCCACCCACCGTCCTCTATCCATCCTTTCATCTATCCATCCACCCATCCTTCATTAGCAGCGCTGTGGAATGCCCACACTCACTGCATACCATGCTAGGTGATGAGGAGATGAAGAAAAAGACCTGGTCTCCCCCTCCAGGAATTCACAGCCCAGTGGGAGAGACAGCTAAGTAGACCAGCAATGACAGTCAGGGTGAGGAGCGCTGTAAGAGAGGTGAGCCTGGGGTGCCTTGATGGAAGAGAGGCCTGCTATTCAGACTCTAAAGGGGGAGGGAAGGCTCCCAGAGGAGGCCTTATTTAACTGAGTCCTGAAAGATGAGCACGTATAGGGAGCATCCTTCTCTTAGTGGACGTTCCAGCGTAACTGCCTTTCCTGCCTCAGTGGAAGGCGAGTCCCTCCTCCAGGGTTTGGGTCCCCTCCCTGCCCACATCCAGGTGGGGGGAACTTACCTCGTCTGCCTCCCCTGTGCTCCCGCTCACCTGCAGCCTTTCTTTCTCTCTGCTGCCTAGAGACGTATTCAGATCTCTTTCATCTTAACATTTTAATACAATGATAATAAAACCCCTCCCTTGGCCCTGACCCCGGGATAACTGCCACCCTATGTTCCGTTCACACTAAGCATCTTGAAAGAGAGACCATTCTGACTGTCACCCTTTCCCCTTCAGACATCGGCGGGCGGGCTCCTCCCCCAGGGGTAGTTCTTCCTGTCCCTGAAGCTGCCCGGGCAGTGGTCCCAGTGTCCTCCCTCTTTAGCGGGGGCATGCTTCTCAGACCTTTGCTTAGCTGACCTATGGGTGACGTCTGACGTGGCCCTCATCCTTCCTTCCTGATACCCTTCCCCTTGCCTCAGTGACACGTCAGGTCTTCCTTCTCCATGGCCCTGTGTTCTCAGTGTCCTTCGTGGGTGCCTCTGTCTTAGTTATGTGTCCTCAACGGCTCTTCCTCTCATTCCATATTTGTTCCCAGGAGAGCACGCCCACCCATGCCTTCAGCTGCCACCCGTGCAAGACACCCAGCTCAGGGACTGTGGAGCTTCAGGCTCAGTTCTCCAGCTGATCACCAGACACTCTGCCTGGGTGTCCCCGGAGATCTCAAACTCACGCACTCATTGTCCTCCCAGGGCCACTCTTCATCTTGCCCTGTCAATCTAAGAGCACGGCACCGCCATCTTCTCTGTCGTCAGCGTCAGAACCTGGGAGTCATCCTAGATGCCACCTTTTAACTCGTTCTCCTCACCCCACACCCCCCGCAGTCGGTCATCAGGTTGTGTGGTTCTGTGTCCTTAATGTCTCTGTGGCCATCTCTATTCCATTGCCTCTGCCTTCTTTCTGACTCATCGTTTCTCACCCCAATTACTGCAGTAGCCCGGCAGTTCCACAGATCTCAAGGGCTGGCCCTCCTTTGGGGGCTGGAGGGCTGCCTAAGTGTCATTTGGAGAGCTTTCTGAAACTACAGGCCCCACCCAGAAAGATCCCAGATCAGTGGCTCCATCTTTTTTCACAGCTGCCCCCAGGATCCTCAGGTGCAGCTGGTGGCCTGGGAGGCACTTCTGATGATCTTCCTGCTCCTGCTTGGTCTATACCAGTCAGTCCCCCACATGGGTATGAGAGAGATCATTCAAAAATGCAAATCTGATCCCAATCATGAGTTTGTTCAAAGCTCTCCGTCTCCGCCACAAACCGCCTGCTCGCATGTCAAGTCTGAAGTCTTAGCTGACACATACAGCCTTTGGGATGTGCCTCCGTCTCTTGCCCTTTTCTCATCCCCCAGGGCTCCAGCTACAGCAGCACCCTGCCCTCAGCCTGGAAGAATCACCCCTTACCTGAAATATGCTTAGCTACCTCCCACCCCCATGCCTTCTGGCTTCTCTCTGCTATACCCTTCCAGCGGCCAGTGTCTGCTCATCCTAAGGATTCAGCTTGAGGCCTTCCAGAGGCTTCTCCATCCTCTGTTGCAGCCCTTAGCTTAGCCTTCTGAGGCCACCCAGACTGATACATGTGCCCAACCTCAAAGCTATGAGAGCAGAGACAGGTTCTAGTTGACTTACAGCGTGTGTGAGAGAATGACTTTCACCTACAGACAGCCAGAAATGTCCAGACCACTCAGGTTCTGTACGTTCATGCTGCTAAGCTTTCTAGGCTGTGATGGAATCATGAATTCCATTACTGCTCATTCTGCCACCTCAATGCCATAATGGATGTGCGTTGAAAGGACCCACCCTGAGACCGCCAGACTCTGAAAGAAATCATTGACATTCATCCCTTAGGAAGTGCTTGACAATCTACAGTACTTGCCTTCTAAATAAAACATGAAGCCATCACTTAATGACTTGCCAATACTTTACAGCCCTCCCCGCAGACAGCTGTTAATCACCCCTCTGCCGGGCTGGACACAGCCTGGCATGTGTCCATGCCATCAGGGTGCTCAGTACCAACAGTGAGAGAGGAGAGCTGAGAAGGCTGGATGGCGTCTCCTTCTTCAAAGCATCCTCTGTTTGATAAAATATCACACCTGCTCCCGCTCAAAGATGGAGTAGAATTGCGTGTAGATGCTGTCTTCCCTCCTGCCTTCCTCCTTGGCTTTTCGCTCACTCCATAATGCCTCATGGCCTCTGTAGACCGAGCACTTTATGACTTCGGGACATCCCGCCACCACAGTGCCTCCTGTGCTGTGTGGCTTTCAGCTCAGCAGCGCTGGCAGGACGTCCAGGGTCATGAGGCCGGTCGTGGTGAGCAGTGAGTGAGTCCTGCATGAGCACATGAAAGTTGGGGTGGCGGAATCACCTACCAGCTGAAGACCTTTTGCAAGATTTGATTTTGTAAGAAAACGGTGTAGAATGCCTTCATAGCGCTCAGGAGATTATGGTCCTCTGTGATGCTTATGTTCCTTCCCTTTGATGGTATGTTTGGAGCGTTATGCACATGGAGGACCCCTTCTTATCCTTGGCCTTCCCCAACCAGCTCGTGACATCCCTGTTTGTTTCAAGGATCTGCCTTCATCCCAGCCGTCTGGGCATCTCCCTCACCTGCATCCAGCCTGTTGACGAGGGGACCTGGAGCCGAGCTGCCTCACATGCGTGCGCCCTCCTCTCCGCCTCCAGCCCTGGCAGGCCCATCACCTCTCCCCCGCACCATTGCCTCAGTCTCCTGGCCGAGCTTCTGGGCTCTTCTTCCTTCAGTTAATCCCTCAAGCTGCCGTCCTGTCGAGCTCCCGGTGCCCTCTGCCCTGCTCCATGGCCCCACACTGGCCGCCTCGCTTAGCCTGGCTTTCTAGGGTCATCCCAATATGTCTCCAACTCCGTTTTCAGCTCTGTTTATTCAGTCAGCAAACATTTGTGGAGCACTTCCTACACAGAACTGGGATAGATTCTGCGGGATACCAAAGGGAAAAATGTCACAGGACCTGTCCTTGGAAGGGCTCATGGCCCTGGATGAGAGGTGGCCATTCTCCAAATAATTCAGTGTGGAGCTGTGTTCACGTTACATTGGTGGAACAAAGAGGGGATGGGTTGGGGAGAATAGGGTTAAGGAAGGCATCCCAGAGGAGGAGAAACTTGAAGTAGGCCTGGCAGACGGAGTGAGGGCAAGGGGAAGAGGAGATGTGGGTGTCCCACAGCCTCTCCTGCACACACCGTAGAAGTCTCATATCCACTTACTTGCTCCCCACACACGGCCCGCTCTCCTCCCCTCCCCGGCCATTGCTCATGCTATTCCCGTGTTAGAACACCATCCACACCTCCCTCCACAGAGTCAGTTCCGTCTGGTGAAATCTTACCCATCCTTCAAGGCCTGACTCAGATTCCATCTCCTCCTTCCCTGCCGACTCCTCCCCGCTCGGCTCCCTTCAACATTTTGTATTTCTGTTGCAGCATTTACTACTTTGTATAGAGTTGTTTACTTTTCCTCATCTCCCTACTCCTGGAACCTCCTTGAAGGGCTACATTAGCCATGGAATTGAAAACTCTAATAAGTCGTGTTCTAAGCAAAGAGCAAACCACAGAGGGAAATGTGCACTAGAATGTCTCTATTCTTGGCTTTCTGTAGGTGCCATTGGGTGGTCCCTGGCGAATGAAATAATACAGCATCTGCCATTATCTAGGAAGACCCTCGGCATTAGAATACATTCAGAGGCACCTTTTCTTCTCTCTGTCGATGTAGGGTTCGATGACCTTCAGGTGTGTGCTGATCCAGGCGTCCCCGAGAATGGCTTCCGGACACCCAGCGGAGGGGTTTTCTTTGAAAGCTCTGTCACCCGATTTCACTGCCAAGACGGATTCAAGCTGAAGGGCTCTACAAAGAGACTGTGTATGAAACATCTTAATGGAACCCTAGGCTGGATCCCGAGTGATAGACCCGTCTGTGTGCAAGAAGGTAAAGTGCTCACCACCCCCCACCGTCCTCCCAGGAAGCCACTCATGTGGTCAGCTTGCATGGCCATGACCACAAGAATGGGAGACTATGTGCTGGAGGGGGCAGTACCCGGGGCTGCTCGCTCTGCTTCAGGGCTCACCCTGCATCCTGACAGAAGAGCATGAGTGTGTCATGAGGGCTGGAGGAGGGGAGAGATTCATCTCAGCATTGGAAGTAATTGTCTTCCTTCTCCATCTCAATTACAGTCCAATTCATCACCATTTCTGTCAATGCAAGAGAGCAACTCAGATAACATTAAAGACTATTTGTTATTGGGCTGTCAAATCAGCCCTCGTTTCCATGTTACTCAATAAAAGGCGCAGTAAATATATTGAGTAAAAACTGCATATGATGATACAGAAGATGCATGTGCTACTGAGGATTAAATCAATTGCTACTTATCAGGTCTGTGTTAGACATGATTCATTTAAAGAAAGAAAGAACTGTGGCAAGCAATGACAGATTGACAAGGTAGACATTTATTTCTAGTAATTAGCCCCAAATCTGTTGGTTGAAACAACTTTATGTATTTTTTTGTTTTTACTCTATGGAGACACTTTTGGAGTTTCAAAGAATGCATTGAATTTAACTAATTGGAATGCCAAATTGTTATGTATGTTAGGTATCTCCAAGGATCAGCAAGGCTGATGTAGGAATAGGCATGAATCGAGAACTGATTCTAGCCCCAAATTTCCATGAGGCATGGAACTTACATTTCATTGCGTTCATTAGAAATGAATTTCAGTTTCTCTTAACATCATTATTGATTTTATTTTGGGATGGAGCTTTTCTAATAACGATATGTACACTAATATTCTGATTTAGTGTGTATCATCTTTATGCAACTTTTTAAATAATTTAATTCAGCAAGCTTTTATCAGGCATCTATTATGCTCCTCATCGGAATTATCAAGGATGAGTAAGATGATGTGTTACCTTTAAGATACTTGTTATCTTTGCTTTTATTTTCAAGGTATTTTTTTAAAAAGCCAAAATTAATATAAAGAATTAAGGTTTTTAAGAATAAATTCATTTTTTTCCTTTTACATGCAGCCATGCAAGCTGTGATTTCCGTAAGAGTCTATTACTTAAAAGATTATCTGGTTTGTCTATATAGACTTCGCTGCTAAAAACTATGGCCTAAGATACCCAGTGCTTGAAACCCAGACAAACTCAAAAACATCAGAGAACAAAGAAAACCAATAGACTTCCTGAATATTGCCCAGAGATGAAGGCCCTCCATTGTTTGAACATCCTAGGGAAAAAAAAAAAAAGGTTTATCCCTTTTAGATGAGCTGTTTTCCAACCCTGTACGTAACTACAAAATACATAGTAATTCCAGGAAAGGGAGGGAGAAATCACATTGGAGTAGAAGATTCTGTTGTGTGGGTCTGTGTGCATGATTCTGGACACTCAGCCCCAAATATGCGGGAGGGGCTGTGCACATGGGGACGGCATTGGAGATTCCGCTTTCACTGTGCAACCATAAAATAAGACCAGGTGTTTGCAAAGGAGGGTCCAGGACTCTGTAATCCAGTTAAGATGTTGAGTTCTAGTCGTCATTTTAGAAAGTCTGGAAGAACAGTATTGCCTTTCTAAGTACAATAGTGTCATTATTTTTAACGTTAATGGTAATTTTGTCGGTCTTTGAAAGATCTGTATAAAGAGACTGCTTTTGTTGCCCTGACGGTGGAGAAAATCATAGTTGTTAATGTCCTGGTAAGTCTTCTTTATTCTACGTGGTTTACAGGGGGCGAGGGGCACAGAGAAGTCTGTACCCTGGATGTCATAGAACAGTGAAGAAGCTAAACTTTTTTTCCCTCGATTTGTAAATGGCTTTACTCCCTGATCAGGATTTATGCTGGGCAAATAGTAAGGGCCGCTGAATTCATTTGTTTCCCTTGTCAGGTAATTCTTAGAGAGCTAATGGATTTTCGGGTGGTGGTAATAGTAATAACAGTAATAAATTATCACAGCTTTTATAGGTCATTAAAGTTGAAAAGTGCTTTCGGATTCACTGTCTCATTTCACATGGCAACCACCCTAAAAGATGAGTCTTATTGTCCTCGTTTCCTGATTGGGAAACTGAGGCTCAGAGAAGTTCACTCACTTTGCCAAAGTCACACAGCTGAGGGGTAAGCAGCAGATCTGTAACTAGTTCTAAGCGAGTCTTTTTTCCTTTACAAGGCTATGTCTAGCTTTCTTCTTTGTGCCGCAAAAGCCCCCCCCTCTGATCAGTTACTCAACGGCACATTGTTACAGCAAATGGAGTTGTCGACGTTCAGGGTTGAAGGGACTCATAGAAATCATATAATCCAAGCTCTCATTCTAATTTAGGGTTTTTTTGATCAGTAGAGAAACTGAGTCTCAGAGAAGTTAAGAGCCTTCCCAGAGTTAAATGGTGATTTAGGGACAGATCTGTTTTAGCCCCATCTTGTCACTGTGACCTGGACTCCCTCCAGTCTTTTACGCTGTCAGCCAGTTCTGCCTGAGACGCAGATTTTTAAAAAATAGGTTCATATGCGTTAAAATGCTCTATAACAGTAATGTGCTCTACAGAAGCAAGGTGGTATTAGGCAGGTATTTCCTCGAGCATTCGCCCAGATTGCCTTTTATTCTCCACTTCACTCTGCCACATGCACCAGCTGTCTCCCTTCTCCCACGACCACTTTCTTCCAGTCTAAATTGCTTATTCCAAGTAAACTCAACACAGAAAAGTTTGGACTTATAGAATTGCTAATACAGGCGATGAGTGAATTTCATGGCATCTAAAGCCTTCAGCCTAAGAGATGTCCCTGCTTCTCTGAGCGGCTTCTGCAAGCCTGGAGCCTGCACGTCCCTAAGCAGGGGTGAGAGTGATTATGGTCTAGGGAGCAGGGGAGGTGACCGGTAGGGAGGAGAGGAGACCCTGGAATTGGCACAGGACTGCTGACATAGTAAGTACAGTGACCAAAGGCCAGGTGATAGCCACCATCTGGGCCTCTTCCTTTCCAATACCACTCCACTAGTCTAGTGGGGGACATTTTCCCTGGGTGAATAGGTCCCTTCCCCACATTTCCTAAGGAAAGGTAGAGGTAAATAAGATTGACTTTACCTACATCCACTTGACAAACTCTTGTTCAAAACATGTCAACTCAGGGCACGGAAGGATGCTCTCCGGGCCCTGCAAGTCTTTGAAGGGGCTGAGTCACTGTCGTGGTGACTCAGGCTACGGTTTGGGTTTGCACGCCATCAAGAAGTAGTATATTTTAAAAATAAATGTCCCAAAGAGACGAAAATAAAATTAATTCCAATCCATTTATATTATGAACAAATATCATAGGGGAGGGGCAGAAAAGAATCAGTCTATACCTTGCCAAAACCTATTTGTTATCAATGTTAATGGAAATATTTCGTGACTTAACCATCCCTTGGTACAGCTGGGATACAGAAGCCATCTGAGCTCTTATGGCGTTGGTTATACTAGCTGGATACAAGGTTTCGTTTTTGTTTTTTACAAAGAGAGCTCAATAAATGATGGTGCATAGTTCCTGGGTAGGGTGAGAGCCTTACTTAGATTATGAGTCAACGTTCCACGGCACCGAAACCCCTCCTTACTTAGTAGTCTCATTCCTGGGGGGGATGTTTGGGACATTTCTTAAGGACAGACCCCTCTGGCAGGAGATTAAGCTTCTGGGTGAATTCAGGGTGTCCCTTGAGAACCTCTGGGTGAGGATGACATGCTCCTGGGACAGAAACACTTCTTTTCTTCTTTGAGTTTCTTCTTCTGGAGTGTTCACTTGCGGAGGTAGGAGGAGACTAAATGAGAGCTGCTGTGGGCGTGCCTTTTTATGAAATGGGGTTTTAGCATTTGAAGACTTCTTCACAGAGCTCTGCTTTACTCCCCTTCTCCTTGAGCAGCTCCGCGCATAGTGGTCTCCCTGGTCATTTGGTTGCAAGTAAATTTCCAATAAATCCATGTAAAGCAAATAAAAAAGAATTTCGGGGAAGCTGGAGTCCGGCAGGTCTTGCAGACGGCTCGTTTCAACGTGAGTCTTCCGCAGCAGGTTCAGGCCCAGCTTAAAGGCACGGTGGAGCTCTTCCGGACAAGCCAGGCATAACGCTACTGACGGCTTCCGCGTCTGCAGAGTGCCACTCACTGAGGATGAACTGGCTGAGCAGAGGCTTGCTCAGGAAACCCTGCCGCTGTGATTGGCTAGTCAATTCCTTGTGAGCTGGAGAGGAGCAGAAGGACTGACTAGGAGATAAAAGGGTTGTTTCATGTAACCCCTGTAAGGAGAGCCCCCCCACCCCTTGGGATGGTTTTCCTCGCTGTGAGAATGTCACACACGAGCATGGCCCCTTACTGACACCTGCTATATAGGTCCTGCAGCGCCATGTGGATAGCGGGGGTCTTGCAAGGTGGAGCCTGTGAGCATGGGCTGAAGCAGACAGGGCCAGAACTGGTGACAATCCAAAGAACAACCTCATGCGACCCTTCAGTGCTTCTGTGGGAAAGGTGCCTCCCTCTGGGAGGATGTGGGTACAGGTGACGCGCTGTAGCCACGGTGCCTGTGACGACCAGCTCCACACTGGATGTCACCGTTTATACCCTGCGTGTCTGAGCAGGCAGCTCTCATCCATGAGTGGGAGCGAGGCCCAGTGCGCTGGCGGCTGTTTCCTGTGGCTGCTTCCTGCCCTGTCTTCTTTCACCACTTGGCCATTGGTCTGGTGGAGCCCATCTACCTCTGTCTTCATGTCATACCCCTCAGCCTTTAGACGGGTGCTCTGGTTGAGACTTGCATCCCTCAGCTGGGCCTTTGACTGTGAATACTCACCCTCAGCTCCTTCAGAAGTTGCTGATTTTTTTTCTAGTCTTTTCTTTTACTGATTTTCCTGACTTTGGGGCTGCAAGTGCAGTTGGCTTCAGCCATTTATAGTCACTCACACGCAAGGAAAGCACATGAGCATTCTTTCCTTCC